AAAGTATTTTTTTTAAATTTTCCAAAATTATTGGGGGGCAAACAGAGGGCAGACCAGATTTATGAGGGGGCAAATGACCCCCCCCCCCCCTTGGCGCCTCCACAGGGAAGGAGGAGCACTTGTCACTCATCATGTTTTTCAAACAGGAACAAGTTTCTAGGTCAAATTTGAACAAGATGAAACATACAATTATATTGTTATTAAAAAATATAAGAATTTCTTCAGCAGCTAGTTTGATGGAAAATACAAAAATTACCTGCAAAGAAATTTCTTTCTACAGACAAAAAATCTTCCTGATAACTGTGACAAAAGTAATGAATTCCCAGCATGTAAGAATCAGTCCATTTTTTTTCCAATGTCATCGTGTATTAGATTAATTTCTCTGACGTAGAGAGACGTTAAGTCTGTCTCCATTTTTTTATGCAGGAGGAAGAAAACATAATTAACAAGTAGAGCACTAGTCTGAAAAGCTATTTCTTTAACAAAAACAAGACATTTTCGAAAAATTTCAATTTCTATCAGATTTTAGTTTTACTAGGGGTTTTTTTGAATAATTTTTTTCTTATTTGTCTTCTCAGAATATGCGGTGTTGAAATTTTGAAGTGTACATAATTAACAATTACAGTGGTCTATTCTAAAAACCCTACACACAAGCAAATTATTGAAATATAATTATACCACATGTTAGTCCTGATATGACCTAGTTTGTGTCAAGTGGACATTCCTCTCTCTCTCTCTCTCTCCTGAAAACATTCCTTTTAAATCTGATATTTTAGAGGTTTTATTCATTAAGTTCTACTTTTTAGTTCAATTCCAGAAAAATACAGAGTTGATATTATGATGGTCTTGACTGCTATATTCCAAATTGTAACCAACTGGATGACAACAAATAAAAGTCTGGGCAAAATAGAATGAATTGTGTAACTGTCTGGTTGTTCAAGTATACTGTTCACACAATGATTGGAGTCTTTTAGATCAACATATCGAACGAAGACCCATTTCAAGTTCAATTCCCCCATACAAAAAAAATGTATCTCTGAATCTCTTATAATTTAGACTAATAAGGGAATAAAACTAATCTTAAATTTCCTGACATTTCTCGATATATAGTCTTTTAGTCTACCTTTCTACAATAGAGACATTTCTGTGTGGCAAAAACAAGACCACCCTAATATTATATTAGGTCTATGTTAACACATATAATGTACCCTGTAAAAAATGCATGATTTTTACTGCGTTTATTTGTATTGTAAGTTTTCATTATAATTGATGTGGATTTCTTTATCCACGATTAATTAGATATTAAATTGAAATCTGAAACCAATTTGGGCCATTAATGTAACATTTTTTTATTTTTTTGTCAAACAAACATAATGGACCTTTAGAAAAATACTACTGTGGTTTTGATTGAAAATATCTGAACAGCTATAAGCCATATAAGAAAATAATAGATAAAGCTCAGTCAATTTGTTTTTATACTACTTAAAAACTGGTTTCTAAGGTGTAACCACATAACACGACCATATGATATGATAAATGATAAGTAAACAAACAAGGTCCTTTTTTTTCAGCTAATTTGAGTAACACCTGTGGCCCACCTTTTGCTTCAAAGACCAAACAAGTCAGGTGTTTGTTGTACCACATTGACCAACTAATTATAACACCTTACAGAACATACAATATTTACATCTACATTATTTATATTTTTATGTTTGATTTGATTAATAGGGGAAAATATATATATTTATAAAAATGTTGAATTTGCCGGTCTAGATTTTTCTGATATTCTTCAGTCACACAGATCATTTAGTTGTAATTGAGTGGGGAGACAAAGTACTCTAACAATTGTGTTTTAGATCGTAAGGCCTGTTAGTTGTGCACATCACTGGTTGGATCCCAGGCTTAGACAAGGAGTAGGACCAAGTGCCTAACATTGTGGGTTTTCTACAGATAATCCTAGCACATCTAATTGATGGTGAATTATTGAAACAAACATCTACCCTATATTAGTCCCTAAATGACCTGGTCAATGTTGAATGGACATTAATAAATGTCTGTTGCGGTGTTTACAGTGAGGATCAAACATGCAGCCATTTGGTTATAGATGTAGCTTGCTAAACGCTGTGCCATTACCATTCCATCAAATTTAATAAAGTCTCCAACCATCCGAAATCATTTTGCAGACAAAATTCATGACCAACACATACAGAATGTTGAATATGTACATATTATATTAATTTATAAAGGCATTATCTCTTTCATCCAGAAAATAAATTAGACAATAACTTTAGACTCAAGTTACTTAGAGTAGTATAATCTTTTGCAAGAACATTCATTGAACTCCTTACAAACCACAGAAAAGTGGTTCACCAGTAAATTTATAATTGAATGATTGGCAGACTAGCTGGTCTAATATTTTGCATCAAGTCAGATTTAGGATATCCAGTGTAAATGTAGAGTCAATTAATGACCAAATGAATTCTTTTTATAGCTGTCCAAAGTGCTATATAAAATTTGCAGATTAAAACATGTTTTTTTTTTGTTTTTCTTTTTATGACAGGTGGGGTCATTTTATCAGTGTTTTGGTATATTCTGTTGTTTTCTAACAAGAAAGTCTGAATTATATTAACAAAACTGATTATTACAAATCCAATAAGCTTCATTGCAATCAATGTTATAATATGAAAAGGCCAATGTACCTTATAACCACTAACAGTCAAAAACCTCTCAATGTCTTCATATATAAATATTGATATTACAGTTAATTATAACCACCTCATTTAATTTTGCATGTTAATCCTGGCTCTAATCATTGTAACTAAACTAATTAATTAATTAAAACAAAATGTTCAAATTGAGTTATCTCCCCTTACCTAGACTTGTTTCTGTGCACAGATGATATGATATACAACTGTAGAAAACCTCTTTGGTTATATTGCTTTGTAATAATAGATAAATAAAACTATCCATGAATGATATGTAGAATATTCAAATATAATTTAATGTTTTGGTATCATCAAACTATAGTTAATGCATGGATGGCATAGTTAAATGATTGCCCAGACTGTCCTGTCCTGAAGCTGAATAATTGATGGTTAGAAAAAACTATTTCACAGTATTGGAGCATTCGTTTTAATCAGATGTTTAGGAAACAAAAGTATTTTAAAAAATCACTTGTTTTAAATGTCTAATTTTGAAAAAAAAATATAATGATGTCAGTTTTTAACTGGAAACATTTATTACACGGTAGTAATTTTATGTGAAAATGACTCAAATCTTTTTTTTTTTATAGAAAACTTACATAGGAATGCAAGTATAATTAACTTTAAGAATAACCAAATTAGATAACTTTTTGCTTTAATAAAACAATCACCAAAATGTCTTCTTATGAAACATTGTATAATAGATTAGGCCAACATATTATTTTTTGCTAAAACAAACCAAGGTAATTATTTAGTCTTTTGGGATTTGTGAGTTTTAATTCAAACTTAATGATCTTAATAATGTTTCTGTACAAGTTCTTTACTGATTTTGTGTTTATATTATTGTAAGTATTGAAATGTATATTATAAAACATTAAAACATTATCTCGATAAAGAGAAAATATTTCTCTTAAATCAAGTTAATGATAAAGCATTATATTATTTTTCTAGAAAATTAGATAAATGAGTTATTGAAGCATTGTTCAACTTCAGTACTGTTTCAATCTTTAAATAGAAGAGGAGAGAGTATTCACAAATATCATGTATCTGGTGATGATAATATTACATGATATTTGTTTGGCTTCCTAATTTGAATATTTAATGGTTGACAAGTTGTATTAAAGACAGATGTTTCTGTAAAGCAATTGACTGTGACATGTTTCCATGGTGTCAGGTCCACAGGACCCCCCTAATATATTTTATAAGGCTGGCTAATGGCTGTGTTTAGTTTACAAGGAGAGGTGTACTTAATGATTAGAAAAGGAATAATAGTACATGTTTAACCCTAATAAAACCCCTGCTGTTATGTGTTTTAGACTTACATTTGATCTTAATCCACTTAAGGGTTACAATGTTGATCTGGTTAACTCACTTCTAGCTGATTTATTATCTTTGATCAATTAACCAGCTAATAATGAATTAATTGGTTAAATAAATTATTTATAATTAATGAGATTTTCAAGAAATTAGATCAGTTATCCTTGAAAATTATTAATATTTCCATAAATTTATAATGATCGGTTTTAAGATATATGATATGATGTTTTTTGGATTACGTATAATGGAATTTGAGAATTTTATAGCAAGCTTTCTTTTACATTTTTACAAATTCTTAAGTGACTGTCACTTTTACGTTATTAAACCACAGAAGTGAATAATTTTAAATATAAAGAATTAATTTGAAGTCTGTCATTACATGTTCTAATAGAAAAAAAAATTGAAGCAAATAATTTGTGTAATTTAAAATGACTCATGGTCACAGCCGGTTAAAATATTATAAAGAAATGCTTATTAAGATTCATGAAATGATGTTGAGAAAAAATTTGCTTATCAATGGTTTTCATGGCCAAGTACTAATTAATTTCCATAGCTAATTGGTATATAGATGACTACAGACGTATGCACGCTATGTGACAACAAAAAGAAAAGATGAAGTCCCGTTCTGAGAGCCCCCGAGGCAACAAGCACGTGGGGGATGCAAGATTGTTCAACTACAACTCCTGTGAAAGCTAATACAGTATGCAATGGTGGTGGACTAACCCTTATTTCCTATATTGTCACACAATCTTCTGATCTTATCCTAAAGAAGAAAGCAAAGCATCTTTGGCCATTGTTAACCCCTTCATATTGTTATACTAGCAGTTTTCACTGACAAACCATGTGGAAAAGACATCTAGTGGCTCAAGCTATTGACAGAGCTATATGGTTGACTGTGCTAGACTACCTGTCCACCCCTTGTATTAGCAATGGGTCTAAACCATTCTCCATAATGTCTGTATAGTAAAGTGTATTGTTGGTTATTCCACAGAGAACCTATGGGAAGTGGGATGGAGAAAGAGAAGCTGGTGTAGTTAGTTGAACAAGAGTAGTGTGAGGATATCCATTGGAAACAACATGATTTTAAAACAAGCATCACTTCCATTTTAGAATGTGTTTCTTCTGAGAGAGAGAGAGATTAAAAAAAAAACTAAAAGAAAGAGAGGATCAAAGAATTGTGTGGTGTAATTACAGTGCTATAGACTTATTTATAGTAATTGTACTATATATAGTGTAGTGCAGGTACTAGTAACACTATTGTGTTTTCTTTTGGCATTGTGGATAGTACTGTGCATTTGACAAGATTCCTACTCTTATATATTCACTGATAATTTAATCAATAGTAAAAACACATAGTTTTATCAGAAAACGAGATAACTATTGTTTTAATCTGCTATTTTTAGAATAATATGTTCATTAGTGAATTATGTGAAAAATTGGATTCATAGGTTTACTGACAGTGACAATACCTTATCATCTACATCAATGATTTTATGATCTTGAATACAAGTGAAATGCAATAAGGAGATTATATATTAAAAATGGATATATTTAATTGGAGAACTATACAGCATTTCAGCTTTAGAGTGATTTGTGTAACAATTTGGATTCTCTTTGGGGCAGGACATGCCTTAGATCTAGGTAAGTACATTGATACTTATATTGATATACATGTGTGTAAGTTACATTGGCTATATCTACATATTACTTACCTTCTACACCCACTATACATGTATACTAAAACACATTTAATTGCAACCAGTCTACACTGATCAGAAAATTACATTAAGAAATTAAGACACATGTAGATGGAATTGGTAGTTTATTACTTTCTTAATCAAATGGATTACAAAATGATAGTTTAGTCTCCATCACATGGATTACAAAATGTGATTTAGCTTGTGCTCAAAAGCAATTTTATTTATCCAGTTCTATACATTTATATGCTGTTTTTCTGTTTAACATACTATAATGAAGTACCTATTGGCCTGGAAAAGTTACAATCATATCAGAAACTATTCATCTATTATAGGCTACTAAAGCTATCTATTAGTATCTATTTATTATTTTGAACAATGTAATCATCTTTTTATGAATATTTATGTAACCTCCACGACTACATGACAAATTCTCATAATTTTGCAGACACAAAAATGTAGGGACAGGGAAAATGTCATACACAGAAAGTTTTAAAAAATAATTGTAGTTTTAAATCAATCCACAGAAAGTATTATTTAAACAATTTCCCTCGCATTTTAAATATGAATACCTTTTGTAATAAAAAAAAAGATATTAGAGTGAAATTGAAATTTGTAATCCATTTGGTAAAGATAAAAAAAAATTAACACACTTCTTCTCATCATTACTTATAAAACGCATTTTAATCAATAATTCTTGCATAATTTTACAATTAAATAAATGCTGAATATTTAACAAAGTGTGAATTATTAGTACTAACTTTGTGATATTCAACCGTTACATAATATACATGTAGGTATGAGTTCTCTATATATCCATCCAATATCTAGTATCTATATTAATGTGAATTGCTCATTCAGGTATGGTTGTGTATATCATGATGATGTGTATTCATATAGACCAGTGTGTATTAAACAAGAGATGAGAGTTAACCCATATAATACTATTCCTTATTAAATACATGTGTTATATCATAATCCTTTTATGATTAGTTTCGCTGGTTGATCCTTTTTTCTTATAACAGTTGAAAATCAATGATCCTTTAAAGTTTCCATTTAAATATTGTCAAATTTGTATTTATAAGGCCTTTTTGAGTGGTGTTGGTTATTTGGATTAAGGGTTTGGGAGGGGGGTGGACAAAATTTATTGTCCACAGGCTTACAGAGATATTAATTTATTGAGCGAATAGAAAAGACCAATTTGACTCTGAAAATTATGATTTCAGTTACATGTATGTAGAGAGCACAGACAAAGCAAAACAATTTAGTATGATTCATTGTCTTAAAATATGCAAGAATTCTACTTTTCCATGATGAAAAAATGAATGTTGTAATAACACCATAATGTCATCTTTAGTAGGGATAGTACGGCTGTTATATCAATGAAAATTTTGATTCAACAATTATCTGCTAAATATGTGAAAGTCAATAATGTATCGCTCTAGTAACTACATTGATTGAATTACTAATTATAATTCTAGTGATCCTAACAAATTAACAATTCATGTGTTACAAATTTATTTGGATCAAATTTCAGCAATAAATGGAATTAATCCATAACAATGTAGAAAATTTTAGAGATTTATATTAATACAATTTTCTAAATTAAAAAAAGGGGGGTTTAAATCATGCACTGGTTTATAGATATAAAATTTCTGTATTCCTGTGGATAATTTTTATTTATTTTTGATCCGTTTTGTACATAACAAGATTTCACAGCTAACAGTATTCTCACATATTCTCATCTGTTAAGTACACGATCTATGCTGTTGGCCGCGAGAGAAAGCTTAGACATTTTCACACTAAATCAGTAGCTGAACTGTATGTACACATAGAATCACACTTGAAGAATACTTTCTAAAGAGATGCCATTATTGAGAAGTCTTTGCTAAAGCCACATATAGACTAGCAATATCGAATGTAAATATTTCTTTATCCCAGACATTGTAGCAATTCTGTCACTAATGCAGCATGATTTATCCTATAGCCAGAAACACTTTTTCATTTTGAAACCTTACTTTAAATTTCAACCTCCTTCTATAAAGTAAATTTCCAGGGCTTTTTGTTAATAATAATTTATAAACTGTTTAGATTTGTGATGACTTATTTATCACTGTCTTGGAAGCCTTAGTCTTTACCAGGAATGTATGATAAACACATTTCTTTTTTGTTTTTTATTTAAGTAATGGTTCTTGAAAACAGGTTAATAATTTTACCATATTTAGATTGAGTTATTTTAAACATTCTTTTGAAAGTTCATTATAGTACATCACCTTGTGTTTAAAAGTTATATATTTGTCATATTTTGATATTCAGATAATATAGCTTTCCCTTGAGATTAAAATTTTATACATGTATCTGAAACTTTAGCCTAAAGCCATAATATTTCAGTTGAGACATGTGTTAAGAAAAGACTTGCGGAGATAGTGATTGTTTTGTGATTTGGTGGGGTTTTTTTTTCACTGTAACAAAATGGTAATATTTCAAGGAAACACTAAGGTTCTATAAACAAAAATTTGAAATAAAAGCCCCATTAATGTAAAATGTATACTAAGAATAATTTTATAGGCTGAACATACTTGTATTATGTTCAAATGCACAATTAATAAAATTTAATATTTGAGAATCAAGAAACTTGTACATTCTTAAAACATATAAAATGGGAAAATTATATACATGTATCAATCTGGTTAAAGCACAGATCCTATTTCGTTTCGTTTTTATAGTTCAAAATTTCGTTTAACTTGTCTTTACTACACTTGGATCTCGAAGAGTTGTTATTTAACTCGTGTTCTGAATGGTGTCAGGGATAAGCCAATGAAACGGTCTGTTACAGCGAGCTTTAGGCGTGTTTTTCACAGAACTGTGGGTAATCCACTAGTAACATCAATGCTGATTGGTTAATCAAATGTCTGACATCATAGGGTCATAAGTCTGTCTTTTGACCCCTGACGTGACCTATCGCTATAACATTTATAAAATTAGAAATTTAATTCTTAGTAGACCTATAGATATAACAACTGTACATGTGTATCTACCAGTATAAGGTTTTCCCCAGTGAGCCACCCACAGTCATGGAAAGTATGAATGGGAACTTTTATCAGGGGGGTATAAAAAAACAAACATGTGCATTGTCATATAATTTGAAAATATAAAGAACAGTGTAGTATTGTATTCAAAATAGTGTTGTTTTTTTTAATCTTAATGTTTGCCTTTTTTAATCTTAATGTATATCCCAGATAGGATAGTTTGATAATCCTTAAGATCGTAAAAATCATAGTTTTGATATCTTGTCTTAAAGTCTCATATTCAGTTCATAGGAAACCGATAATTTTCACAGAGAATATAGTGTATAATTACTGCATGTGTGTAAATCTAGACACATAATAATAAGAAACGATATTATTGTGAATAAATAAAAATCTTTTAAAGCTCTATCTGTTTTAATGTATGTACTAATATTATAATTATTGCCTGACATCAAAAGAAATGTTTGGAGTGGATAGATGTACATCTGGCATAATATATGTTAGATTTGAAACTGGATTGTCAGGGGAGACGATAAACCTGTTTGGCATGCATAACAAGCACAATTGGCACAAGATCGCTTTGCACTGGATATGCAGCTGCACCAAAACTTTAACCTTTTTTGTGAATTGAGTGTTATGTCTTGTTTTACCCATTGAAACATCTTTCGACTTGCTGTTTTCTATGTTTATAAATCAATGAAATATTTGTGTAAATCTATTTATATAGACGGGTATATTTTATAGGTTCCTCAATGTCTGTTTGTACATATGTATAAAATTAGAGCACAGAAACTTTAATTGTCATTTCTAAAACTGAATTGTAATTTAATCTGCAATAAATATTATGACATATTTTAATCTATGTATTTTGTAAAAAGAATATATATAAATGTTCAAGCAGACAACCATTTGTATGTCTACATTTCCTGAAATATTTAGCAACATGTAGGTCTGTGAAGAATGCAGGATTTCCAAAGGCAGAGATGAGCAAAATTAAAAATTACTTACAATTGATATCAAAAGGGATATACATGTACATAAAAATGGTTTTAGTTGATTAATTAAGTCATTTATTGGGCATGTCCAATAATTTTTTTAATGATCCAGTGGCATTTATCCTAAATAAACCACTGATGTAGGTACATGTACTTGAAAGTAGGCTACATAATATCTGGTGACTGATTATTTACTAATACTATCTATAGAACAGTGCCACAACATCTCACATAGATTTTTCGTGACCAAATTGTGATCTGTAGAAAAACGATCAATACCTTATTTTGAAGCCTTACGGCATAGAAAACCAAGATTGTATTGGAATTGTGATGGCAGTAGTCGCCTGTCTGTTATTTAGGTATCGAACTAACTCTGTGTACATGCCGCCTGATGGAGAATAGTGCTGATGAACAGGTGATTACAGTCAGAGAACTTTCGCTACATTTATTGAGCCTCCCATTTTCTATCAATCAGACATTGGTGAAATATTGACCCGCGTTATCCGACCAAGCGCTAATGTGTGGTTATTCTTTAGAATTCATTAAGGCTATCCGACTCAACTATTGTTACAAATGTACAGCCTCTAAATCTTTCTCGTGTGTGCGTAAATAGCATCAGAACTATAGTAGCAGTAAATTTTTATTGAACGCCATGTCATCATAGGTTCTTTATCGCTTTTTGTTGTATAATGGTAAAAAAATTTCGCGATTGATTTTCTTTTGTGTCAGAATTATACCACAGGAAAAATTAATTGGGAAGTTCTATTTGACTAACTCTTAGGGTTGAAATTGTTCAAGTCTCAAACATTTTAATAAGTGGATTTCAATTATGTTGAGGGACTGAAACTTTATTTTGTTTTCTATGTTGTTATGTCAACAAATAGTCCGTACGGAAGTGACCCCATTTGATAGGATTAGAG